CGATCAGCAAGCGTCATAACCCGAGCCAAGGTGGGACCCCAGGCCCAGTGAGCCCTTTGTACCCCAAACACATGGGCACAGCCTTTCCCAGCACCCAGGGGTCCAGCCATGATCAGCATCCACTGCCTCCTCGGGGGCCCTCTGAGTCCTCCCAGCCTGCTGGGCACTCCTGAGAGTCTCTGCTGGTCCCTCCCCTGACCAGGACAACCTGAGCGCACAGCTACCAGCCACTGCTGTCCTGGGTATGAACAGCAGGTCCTCCCATTCCCCTCCCCCCCGGAGTCCTGGCTCCGGCTGCTTCTGACCCCAGCCCCACCTGACCCCCACCAACGCACACTCGCTGCCCTGGCCAGGACGCTCCGTGTGTCTGTCCCCCGACATGCCTGTCATGCAGGGACCAGCTCGGCTCTGCATCTGACCCTCGCTCTGTCCAGCCCTGGACAGTGTCACACATGTGCACAGGGGTGCTACATGGAGAGGAGGTGAGCAGAGGGCGGTGGGGTCAGCCTGGCCTCTGTCCCACCCTCTGCACAGGCGACCCCGTCCCTCTTGAGCTTCACACGCAGAATGGGGCAGGGAGGCCTTTCTGGTGTGAGTGTGGCCCAGCCCGAGGTTAGGTGTGCCTTCCTCTCTGCCCCATCCCCTGCCGCCTAGCCAGCTGTGTCACCGCCCAGTGCCCAGGTCCCATCTGTGTCTCTCCCAGCTCGCTCACACTTGTCTTGGGCACCTTCATCCACCTTGCAGGCGAGGACCTCGGTGTACAAATCTGGTGTGTCTGTCTACATAGCAGGAGGAAGTCTGGATTTGAACCCAGGTCCATCTGGCGGCCTCAGTCTCCCTGGGTTGCAGGAGCCCCAAGGCAGGAGTTGGGGTGGCCCTGGGGGCTGATTCCACCCCAAGGGTCATGACATGTCACCTCTAGGCCCCAAGCCCGGGGTCCTGGCATGGGACCCTGGCACAGCAGGAACACAGATGGCTCAAGGGTGGAGGGTCAGCAGCTGGAAGCCACTTGCCCAGGTGCAGAACTCGCTGAGGGTCACACCCCGAGCCACCACCTGCTGCCCGCATCATGGGCCCCATGACTGCGGGAGTCTCAGGCTCCACATCTGCCCCAGGCCGTGCCCAGGGCACCAGGCGGGCAGCTATCTGTCCTCCTCCAGCCCCAGAGGCTGCAGCTTTGGGCTGTCACTCACCGTCTCTCTCGCTGTAACCCGATCAGAGACAAGACAGGATCTGGGGCACCGAGACAGGAGACATCTTAATTAGCGGCTTTTCTGGAGCAGCAGGAGCACCAGACGCCTCTTAACTTGTCAGTGAGTCTGAGCCGGAAACCTGGGCTTCCTCGTGGCAAGGGCCAAGCTGGCGGCTGGGGTGGCTATGCCTATGGGTGGTGCTGACACCTGAGGACGCTGACTCCAGACTCCCTCCCTGGGGCAGCAGTGAGCCCTGTTCCCACAACAGGTCACAGAGAGGATGGCCTGCACTGAGCACCCCACGCACAGAGTCCAGAGCGCAGCTCCCAGCCGTGCAGGCCACCAAGACCTCCCGGGACCGTGAGCCGTGGGGTTTCTGGGGAGAGCAGTCAGCCTTCAGCTCTAACTGACCGCAAGGTGACCAAATGGCCTTGGTGGGTGGGGGAAGTGGGGGTGTTGCAGAGGTCTCGGAGGCTGGAAAGGGGCAGCCAGGGCTGGGCCCAGTGGGCGACTGAGACTGAGACACTGGTAGGGACAGGGGCCAGGGCCAGCTCACGGGGCCCAAGGACACCTGGGGGAGCCAGGCTCAGCTCAGGGCTCCATGGGGCTGAGAGAGCCAGAGGCCAGGCAGCAGCATCTCTCCAGGAGACCCCAGCTGCAGCCCAGGGGACAGAGGCCACTGTGACCCCGCGGTGACTCGGGTTCCTCACCGCACAGAACAGAGTGGCAGCTTAATCACAAACCACAGGCCAGACATGAGCTCCCACACAGCTCAGTCTCAGCATCAGCCCGCACAGGTCAGAGCTGTGGCCAGGACCACGCACAGCCCAGGTGCTGAGGGCATGGGCCCCCAACGAGCAGGCTCAGGCGCGGCCGCTCCCACACGGAGCGGGGCACTGGAGAAGGAGGCGCGGTTTGCTTTTCACGTCCCAGGAGCCCTAGAGGAAAGCAGCAGCGCTGGCAGCGCTGTGGACAGGGAGGAAGTGACCCCACCTGGGAAAGCAGCTTCCCGCGGGGCACCCCGGAGTAGCATCCTCATGGGGCTCCTGATTCCTTTAGGGCCCAGCTTGGGCAAGGTGCTGCACCCCAGTGTCAGGGCCCCTGTCCCCTACAGGCCAGGGGATGCAGCCCGTGAGGGAGCTCTCTGCGCCCCCAGAGAATGAGGCTGGCAGCAGTGGCGTGGCTGTTTTGGGGCCCTGCACTGGGCCCAGAATGTGGAAAGCTGACACCCGTCTTTGTGAGGAGGAGCTGGGGGCCAGAGACAGAATGTGGGGTGCAGGCACCCAAAGTCCACTTTCTGAAGCTGTACTGGGCCAACAGGCACACTGAGTGTTGAGAATCCAGAGGACAATAGGGAGTGGGCCAGGTCCCTGTCACTGAGGACACTGTAGGCAAATCCTTCCTGGGCTCCAGGAGTGGCAAAGACAGCTGGAGAGGAGGCTGCACACTTGAGCCCCAAAACAGGTCCCCGGAGGGCCAGCTTCAGTCCCTATGGCCATCTGTGCTCCCCGATCACCAGCCAGGTTCCCCTGGGCTTGGCAGGACCTCGCAGGGGGCCTCGGGTCGTGACCCTTGCCCTGTCCAGATGGACCAACGTCAGCTCCATCCACAGCAGGCAAAGACAATGGGTTCTGTTGTTGGCCAGCTGCCCTCAGTCAAATTCTCCAGGGACCTAGTGACCCTGAACAGGGCTGTAAAGGGGGCCCCACTGACTCAGCAAGATGTCCACTTACTAATGAAGGGCCACTGGAAAGGGCATTGACCTTGGTCAGCAGGCAGGAGCACTCCACTAGGGACTACCACAGAGCAAAAAAAGAGTGACCTGTCCACTGAGGACCACCACAGCACAGAGGGAGGTCACCATTGTGACCACCACCAGACAGAGAGGAGAGAGGCTCTCCATCGGGGCTGCAATGGCATGGTGTAGAGCGAAAATGTCCCCCCAGAGCCTCCTGTGTCCATCAGTGGGGTTTCCCAGAGGTATGGATCATGGCTGCTGTATTCCACAGTGGACCAATCCAGTGACCAATCCAGCTCCTAACCGAATGCGCCTGGTGGAAGCGGGGGGGGGGGGGGGGGGTGAGGGTGCTACCCAAGGCGTCCCCCAGGAGGGTGTGCCCCTGGCTCCTTCCTCCTCCTCTCTTTCTCCCCTGGCCACCTTGGGACCATGTGCCGCCATGAACCTTTGTACCACATCATTTCCACCATGGAGTCAGTGGACCATGGACTGAACCCTGGAAACCATGAGCCAAAGTAATGGCTCCTTTAAACTGAGAGCATTGGTGGATGTGACCATCGCCACCAGTGCCCTCTCTAGGCCACAGCACAGAGGGGGCTGCATATCCACCTGGCCCGGGGTGCAGCCCAGCTACACAGGGACCACCACTCAGGGTCGGTGGGCATGTGGGCAGATGGGGATAGGAGTGGCCAGGACATGCGGGTGCTGTCCCTGTGGAGGAGTCACACAGCCAGGAGCTGGTGGCTCCGGGTGTGACGATTTGCATCTAAGTGGCCCCAATTGTCTCGTGTGTTTGAAGGGTGCCTGGACCACGGGGCTGCTGCAGCCGACTTGCCCCTGGGCTGCTCCTGCCTGGCAGCCAGTCGGCCCTGCATCAAAGCCATGCGTTGAAATAAACCATTTAAACTGTGTCAACTACTGTGCCCCAGCAGTGGGACAGGGACCAGGGCACACTGGCTCCACAGAGACAGAGGGGGTAGGCAGGAGCCCCCTGAGTGTGGGGGTGGTGGCAGTATAGGAAGAGGACGGACATTTCCTCAGCAACTGCAGGGAACATGAAAGGGCGGGCCAGGCTGAGGTGCCGAGGGGCCCAGCAGCAGAGAGAGGAGGGCTCGGGAGGGACACTGCCTGGGCTGCTCAGCAGGACTGAAGCCCGGGGCTGCCGTCCATGAGAACGTGCGGTGGGAGGGCCCAGCTGCAGCAGACTCAGAGCTGATGCTTCAAGGTGGGCAAAGCCCATGCAGTGAGCCAGGCTGTTTCCCACTGTTCCACGACTTTCCATGCTGTCCCCTGCAGCCACCATCAAGATGCCCAATGACACGCAGCAGGGAAATCATCCTCAGCTGCCTCCGGAGGAGCTGGGTGACTTCCGGGAGTTGCCTGCCCTCCCTGAGCCTTTGTCCCTCCCAGGAACATGGACCCACACAGAAGGTGTAAGCGTGTCCCGCATGGCCCAGGGCTAGAAAGAGTGCACAGAGTGGCTGTGACACCAGGGTGACCCTTCCTCCCTTAGGGAGTTTAAACGCTCTTCAAACACAGTTGAACACTTATAAAACCTAAAAAGAAAAAAATTTTTTTGTCTTTTTCCTTTTTTTTATTGGTACCAGGGATGGAACTCATGACTGCCTGCTTGCAAGGCAGGCGCTTATGCTGCTGAGCTAAACCCCCAGCCCCCAAAATTTTTTTAATAAAATAAAACCTGAAGGCCTATGGGTCGAGACTTGGGTTCGGCAGGTTCCAGGGCCCGCTGCTGTCACAGATGGTGTTCTGGGCCACCCATAATGAGGGTGGGCATGCGGGAGGAAGGGGCAGGCAGGGTCCTGCACGTTGGAGGGGACTGCGTCTCCCCAGTCCAGACTTTGAGCCTGGATTTCTAGAAATCCCAAGAGAAAGGTTGACCAAACAAGTCTAGCAGGGTCCTAAATTAATTCCAGCTTGATTTAGTTCATCCCCCAAATTCAAGCAGAGTACTTGACATAGTGACACATAAGGGCACGTGTGGCCAGGGAGGAAGAGGACGCATCTCCATCTGGTCATCTGAGTGGACACCAAAAGACATTCAGCAAAACTCAGCTTCATTCAGACTTAATTTTTAAATTCTTAACAAAAAACAAAGGGGTGGGAGGTCCTTATTCAGATCCACTTAGAGGAGCGACAGGCTGGAGAGCTGCAGAGGACGCTGGCCAGCTGCAGAGTCAGACCATGTGACACAACAGGACTGCCACCTCCTGTCATCCACACACTAGGATGCCATCCCCTCCACCGGGCCAGAGCCAGTCTGTGTCCCCAGAAAGGGACAAGGCAGAGGGCGCTGGGTTTGTAGGATCACGTCTGCGGTGTCCATGAAGGCAGCGGTCACACAGGCTGCCAAGAAGCCGGAGAGGGGGCTTCCCCTCTGGAGGGGAGGCCTGTGTCCTCCACGCCTCCAAGGAATCCTGTTCCTGGAGGACAGAAGGGAGGACAGTCCACCTGCGGGTTCGCCAGCTTGAGGGGGAGGAGGAAGCATGCAGACTGTGGAGTGGACATCATGCTGGAAGCCTTCCCACTGAGCAGGGTCACCATGGACCATGTATTGCCACGGGGGGTGCTTCCTACTACACGTACATGTGCGACTTTGGATGAGAAGACATTCAAAGATGCAAATATGGAATATGCTGTGAAAGCCCACACCAAGATAATCCATGAACAAATAGCTAATAATCAGCAAATTTGATGGCTATAAAAGCCATTAAATTCCTATATGCCACTCACCAATCAATACCCAAATAAATATATACAAATTCCCAATAATATGAACAACTTTTAGGAGCATGCAAGTTGTTTACTAGGAAAATTACAAAACACGTTGGTGGACTGGAAGGCACTGTCAGGTCAGCGCACTGTCTGTGAGCCTCAGCCCTGCCACCCGTCCAGGGAGGCCTGAGGAAGATTTGGCTCAGGCCTGGGGGTGGGGGGGGGGTTCGGTCCAGTTCATTGGAGCCAAGTCAGGACTCTCACAGTGGAAGGGTACGGGAAAGGACCGTTGCTCCATTCATGGGGGCTCCAAAGAGAAGCAGGAGGCAGCACCGCATAAGCACGGCCAGGGCCCAGACACAGACCCCAGGATTACACCTCCATGAGCAGCCCGTCCCCCAGGAGTGTGCCTCATGAATGCCCTGGATGCCTCCCGAGTAGCGCAGATTCCGGCTCTACCCAAATCAGCCTGCAGATTCAGGGTGTCTGCATAAGCAGCGCTCAGGTTTTCCACCATGGGCCTTGAAGTCCTAGTATAACAGAAAGTGCGATAGATCAGAATGGCGACTTAATTCTTAGGAAGTGAAAAAGCTACTTTAAATCACAGTAGTTAAGGCACACTGGAGAAGGCCCAGGCACCAGGGGCCACGGGGGGCACTATCCACGGAGAGCAGGGGTGGCTCTCCACGGAGACACTGCACCCGCAGGTGTGTGAGGCCCAGGGCAGAGCCCGCCCCTGCGGGTGTGAGGCAGTGGATGAACCACAGGTGGGAAATGCACACTGGCAGGCAGGAAAGAGGAGGGACACGGCCAGACCTGACGAGGCCATCGGTCCCCAGCGTACTGTGGACATCTGCAGGCTGCTTTGTCCCACGGCAGAGAGCTCTTTCCCCTCCAGCCCAAACTGCAGTCTTGAAACTCAGCTTCACAGAGTCCCAGGGTAGAGTCACGACATGCCCGCCCTGGGACCACGACGGACTTCAACTAGGAATCATAACAGGACAGCCACGGGACTCCCACACAGCTCCAAACTAAATAACACAGTTTCAGAAGCATAATGCCAAGAAGAAATTTCTGAAGAAATTTAAAAACCTTAAGCCAGATGAAAATGAAACATAACTCATCAAAATTGTTGACGGCAGCAGACGTGGAGAAGAGGGATTTGTAGCACGGACCGTGCACATTAACAAAGACACAGGGCTAAAAGTAGGATGAGAAATCGGTTCCAAAGCAAGCAGACAAAATAAACGCTAAAATTAGAGCAGAAATCAGTGAAGGCAATAGAGGAAAATCAGTGAAACCAAAAGTCTGTACTTTGTGAAATATCGTTATAACTGTAAGTTTCCGATCAGGCTGAGACAGAGCTGTACCAGAAGAGAAAGAATCTCATTACAGACCGCATGGACATTAAAAGCACAGGAAAGAAATCCAAGGAACAATTCTGACAGATCACCACTAACCGGACAACCTAGACTGACCGAATTCTTGAAGGATACAAAACCCACCCAGGAAGACTCAGGCAATCTGAAGAGGTCTGGATCTCTTCTAGTACGTCAAGGGCTGAGCACCTGCCTGGCAAGCACAGGGTCATAAGTTTGATCCCTGGTACCAAAAAAGAAAAAAGAAAAAGAAGGTAAATCAATAGTCAATAACCTTCCAAAACAGGAAGCACAAGCGGGCCTTCCGATGAAGTGCACAAACCTTGAAGGAAGAGGCTATAGCAGCTTCCCAGGATCCCTTTCAGAATACAGGAGGAGAGGGAAGGTGCGTTACCCCTACTCACTCAAGAGACCTATGTTACCCCGACACCAGAAGCAGAGTCATTCCAGGAACGGAAGGCCGTGGGATGACACCTCTTAGGAGACTGATTGCAAAATTCTCAAATTATCAAATAGAGTCTAACAATGCCTAAAAAGAATTATAATAATAACCAAGTGGGATTTATCTCATGGATGCAACATTCAAAAATCCATTCATGGCTGGGGATATAGCTCGGGGGTAGGGTGCCCCTAGGTTTGATCCGCAGTATCCCAAAGAAAAAAATAATTTATGTAATTAATCACACCAAGAGGCTAAGAAAGAAAACTACCATCACATCAACAGACACAAAAAATTTCTTACAAAATCCAGTACCCGGGCTGGGGATTTAGCTCAGTGGCAAAAGCACCTACTTTGCAAGCATGACGTCATGAGTTCAATCCCCAGTACCAAAAAAAAAAAAAAAAAATCCAGTACCCAAAGCCAGGTGTAGTGGTTGGTGCATGTCTGTGATCCCAGCACTTGGGAGGCTGAGGCAGGAGGATCACTATGAGTTCAAGCCAGCCTGGGCTACATAGCAATACCCTGTCTCAAAGAAAACTCCACTACCCACTCATAATCTTTAAAAAAGTTTTCCAGAAGACTGGGAATAGAAGGCAAACTTCTTCAAATCAAAAAAGGTTTGAAATAACCTACAACTGCCAAGTTTGGAGAAGCATACCTATAGTCCTAGCACTCGGGAGGCTGAGGCAGAAGGCGGCTGGCCGGGGCTATTTATTGAGTAGGAGTCAAGGGCAGTCTGAGCTACATCCATGGCCCTGTCTAAAGAAAGTTTTAAAAAACCAACTAGTATCATATTTAATTGTGAGAAGCTCAAACTCTTCTTCCAAGATCAGGAACGGGGCAAGAATGTCTCTTCTTCGTATCACAGCTTTTCAAAACCACACTGCAAGCCCAGGCCAAAGCAACAGAAGAAGAAAAGAAAATGAAATACACACACACTGGAAAGGAAGAGAAGTGCCATCGTCCACAGAAGACCTGATTATCCATGCAGAAAATCTAAAAAGCGTAAAAGATAATGTGCTGCAATTAACGGAAAATCAGAGCAAGGTGGCAGAACACAAGATCAATATTCAGAAGCTAGACCCCAGCAATGCATGAGGAGAACTGGAAATTAAGAATGCAGTGTCACTTATAGGGCACCCAGAACCGAGGAGCACAGCTGAGCAACATGTGCACGGGGCTTATGGGAGGACGACCACCGATCCCAGGGGAAGGGAGAACTAGCCAGACCGCGCAGGAGGAAGCTGGGAACGGAGGGGCCCAACGCCATCAGCCCCTTCCCCTGGTCTGCAGACCCCGTGCAACCCAGTGGGATCCCAGAAAGCCACTCTGTGGAGATCAACAGAGTCCAGAGTTTATACGAAGGGGCCGGAGACCCAGGCGGGCATCGCAACACCAGCGCAGAGCAGAGCTGGGGGGCCGGGGCCGGGGCCGCCCGACGTCAGGGCCGACTGCAGAGCTCCCAGAGAGGAGCCGGTAGAGGGCCGGACACGCATCAGTGTCCTAGAACACAGATGGGGGACGTCTACCTAGAGAGCCACTGCACACCCACGGGCCTCCTCCCACACTGGGGGCCAGTGTTGGCAGCACCTAGGCCAGCCGGAAGGACACCTCCAGGCAACACGGGGGACTCACGCTGCTCTGCTGGGTGAGCGGGGCCAGAAAGGGCTCCTCCCCTCCTCCCACTCCTCCTCTCCGTCCTCCTTCCCCCTCCTCCCCTGCCCCTCCTCCTCTTCCTCCCCCTCCCCTTTCCTCCCCTCCTCCTCCCCCTCCTCATCCTCCCCTCCACCTTCTTCTCCTCCTCCCCATCCTCTTCTCCCTCTTCCTCCCCCTCCCCCTCCTCCTTCTCCTCCTCCTCCTCCTCCTCCTTCTCCTCTCCTCTCTCTCCCCCTCCCCCTCCTCCTCCTGTGCCACTGTGTCTGCCCAGACACGCTGGCTTCCTAAGTGAACACAGCAGGCGTCTCCCACACCTCCCACAGCGCATGGTCATTTCCGGCAAGGACACTGCTGGGTTCCGGCCTGGCCCAGGCGTGGATATATGCTTCGGCAGAACCCTCCTGCGTGCGCAAGAGAGGCTGCAGCCACGCGCGTTGCCCGAGCACTGGGGCCAGGTGTCCCAAGGCTACAGCGCCCAGGGGCTGTCCAGGGACAGTAAGGCACTGGTGAGCCTGGGGCCAGGCCGACCCAAGAGCCTGGTGCGTGCCCAGCCGGTGACACTGCCAGCGTGGGGTGACCTGGGAGCTGGCGCCTGTGCTGACAGCCCTCTATCTGGGCTGGAGGTCACTGGTGTGGCCGCCAGCTCTTGCCAGCTACACCCAAGACTTCCAGAGCCCTCTCTCCCCTGTGTCCTTGTCCCTCGCCCCTCCCACTTGCTGTGACACCCAGGAGCCCTGATGGTCCCCGTCCTACATGGGTCCTCTCAGCCTCCCTCCCCCGGTGTCCCGCTAGACAAAGCCTGAGCTGATCAGGGCCCACGCAGCCCTCACCAGGGACCCCTGCTGCCCCTGTGCCTGACCCGGCTTGGTCGAACTGTCCAGCCTCCCTGCTCCAGGCACTGTGCAAATTCTAGTCCAATCTTGGAGTCTCTCTGAGGTGACACCACCTCCAAGAAGCCCTCCAGGAGGCCTGAGCAGAGGCCACCACTCTCTTCCTGTTGACAAGCAGCTGCCCTAGACCATGAACCTCCAAGGGCAGGACAAATGGTAGGGTGGGCTCCAAGCTGCCCTTAAATCCAGAGAAACTTGGGGGTCAATCTGGAGCCTTTGGTTATAGCAGCCTCCACCAAGGCCAGACATGGCCCACACAGCCACTCAGCTGTGGGGGAAGGAGGTGCAGCGGCCTCTGGACGGGGCTGCTGAGGACTGGGGTATCCCCGGGCAAGCCCTGACCATCAGGGGCAAGGCCCTGAGCCACACGGCCCATGTGGCTCCGCTCCATGTGAATTCAGTGGCTCCCCCACTGCTGCCTCCTCTCCCCGCTGCTCCTGTGGGTGAGGAGAGTCATCACAGAGACACCCCCTGTGCCCCCTGCCACCTGGACCAGGGCTGGTGGCCCAGCTTGGGCCTGAGCCTGGGGCCAGGACACTCTCGTTGCCTCTGTGACTTGGTCTGTGACATGGGCCCAGCTGTCTCCCTGCAGGTCTCTGAGGGGACCCAGAGACCACCCCCCTCTGCGCATCTGCAGAGGCCAGGACTCTGGCACACAGCTGTGGGGACCGGAACACTGGCTCCCTGATGCCCTGCTCTGTAGGGTCCCCATCCACTGAGCCCCACGCCAACGAAAGAGCTTGCAACCCCAGTGACGGGATGCCATAGCCAGGACCCGCACAGGTGCCCTGGGGCGCTCGCGGTGAGGGAGGTCACCAGATGGACATGCCAAGGTGTGACAGGGAGCCAGGCGGGTGCAGAGGCTGCTTAGCCAGCTCTGCCCAGCACCGGCTTGCACAGTGGCGGACGCACTCGGATTAATCCAGATTGACAATGACCCAGGTCCTTCTCCATCCAGGGGGCCGCAGCTTCTCCCCGGGGCTCCCTGCCAGGAAGGTATTGTGTTCCGAGATGAAAATGCTTCTCATTTTTTCTACAATTTCCGTTTAAAAACTTCCAAATGTTCGTCCAGATGATGTGAAACTGAACTTCAAGAAAATCCTAGGGGGTTTGACAGTGGGGAAAAAGTGGGGGTCTGGTCTCTGACCCCCAAGCCGCGGAGGATACAATTTCAAGGCTTTCTTCTCCCAGCCCCACTGCTAGCCCTGGGGAGGGGGAGCCTGGGCAGGGTGCAGTCCACGATCCCCATGCACAGGTCTCAGGGTGAGTGGGGAGCCTGAGGCCAGGGTACTGGGGTCCAAAGTCCCCTCTTCCGGCAGCCTCTGCTCCCGGGTTTCTGTGCTGGAGGTGACCTCGAGGTGAGTAGAAATTAACAGCGCTGTTTTCCCTTCCCCAGCACAGCACACTACACACCTCACAACACCCCAATGAGGCCTTGTTTCCACTTTGTAGATGGCTAAACTGAGGCCCCAGAGCAAGCAGTGGTGACAAAATCCAGAGCACTCCAGCTGGGCCTATGGGTGTCAACCTGGGCAGGCCGGTGTCCTCAGCCCCAGCTGGAGCTCCAGGCTCCACAGGGAAGAGCGTGGGACTCCTGAGTCTGAGCTCTATGAAGGGGACAAGGTCTGCGGTCAGGGTGGAGACAGGAAGGTCAGCGGGGACCTCCCGCACCCCAGGGGCCCAGGTGGCCCCTCCACACCCCACGGCAGCCAGCAGTGCCGGCCACATACGCAGAGGTCCCTGGTCAGTTTTCAAAACCACCGAGGACAAAGTGGCAGGGTTCACGCCTCAAGCTGCAGGAAAGTCCCAGTGTCGCTCGCCACGTGCCCCTCGGAGGTCCAGTGTGTCCATCTGTGTCCCAGCCTGCGGCATGGTGTGCCAGTGACCAGGGCCTGAGGGAGAGCAGCCAGGCCGGGGAGTCTCCCACGGCTTCCCCTGTGGCTTCCTGCTGTGCACCTCCAAGGCGCCCACATTTATGACATAATGGGCCGTGAAAGTGGCAGCCAAAAGTGACCACCTGCCGCAGGGCCTCCCCAGGCACCTGCAGCCAACATTCGGACTTCCGTCCCAAGCTTTCCTCGCCCCTGGCAGGTGGGGGCGCAGGTGAGGTTGTCAGGGAGTCCAGCCCGGCGGGGAGTGGTGCCGACAGCCCCGCTGGTTGGCAGTGGCTCCTTCCTGCCCGGCTGCCCACAGCCTCCCCAAACCCATCTGAGGCCGGGGACCTCTGGCTGCTCTGTGGAAGCTCTGGTCCCTCTCAGCAGCACCTGCAGGCTGGACCCAAGCCGGCCCCAGTATGGCACTAATTCAGACCAGGCCCAGCCGCTGGACACAAACTGGACAGACCTCAGCAGCCTCGATGGGAATCCTCAAATGAGGACCACGTTTCCAGTGCCTGACCCCAGCAGACAAAGGGAATTCCAGACTCTGGGGTGGAGGGGAATCTTGAAAGGTTTCCTATCCAGCCCATCTGGCCCATCCAGCACCACCACAGCTGTCATTCAGGTCTGGAGTTACCTGGACAATCAAGGAGCATACACGCACCAGCAGCTTCTTGCACCCCACCCGGGACGGGCAGCTCACTACCTCAAGGGCAGTTGCTGGTCCCAGCAACTCTGAGCCTCTGGAAACGCAGGTGAAATCCCTGCTTCTCTTGCTGTCCCTAGTGGAGCCCAGGGCCACACAAGACCTGTGTCTCTTCTTTCTGAGAGTGCATCCCCAGGTTCCGATGTCCCCACCCCCAGAGACACAGCCAGGCTCCTCATAGGGCCTCCCTTGGAGATCCGAGGCACCACGGGGTCGCTCTTGATTTCTGAGCAACTTTGAGATGCCCGTGGGAGTCAGTCGGTGATCTGTCTCCAAGGAGACTGCAGGAGCCAAGGCCCCAAGTTTGCAGGAGCCGGGGGCCTTGATACCGGCAGCGACAGGTACCAGCAGCGGGCAGCCAGGCCCACCTGGGGCCAGATTTGGGCAGCCCGGACTCTAGGCGGGACCAGCAGGCCGTGCAGTCCTTCTGAGGCTCCGTGTCCCTTTCAGGGTGCCACGGGGAGGAGTTCGGGTTTGGGGCAGACCAGAAGAAGCCAGGGCCACAGTCAGCAGTCTGGATTCCTTGGCCCTCTCTCTACACGCCGATGATGAGCATACTCGGTCAGCCACACAGGCTGGGCAGAAGACCTGGCCGAGTCCTTGTAGAGCAGGTGGAGGGAGGAGGCGACAGAGCCCACGAGGTGTCCGCCCTGAGCACCTGCTGGGCTCCCAGGCTCCGGCTTCGGGGCCTTGAGCAACCCTGCCTGTTTCTTAGTGGTGACTCAGGAACAGCAGAAGGCCATTCCTGCGAGAAGCTCACAAAAGGGAAGTTCTTCGTCTCACCTGGGGGGAGGCAGAGGCAGGGGGTCTTTCGGCAGCACCTCCCTCCGGCTCGATGTCACTGGGTGACATCAAGGTGGCGGGGCGTGCCGGGAGACTTGTGGGGTTGCACAGCCACTGGCTGGTGCCACTGTGCTCTGTGGCGTGGCCCAGGTCACCTAGGAAAGGTTACAAATGAGTTACATGGACATCTTTGTTTCTTCAATGGAACTGGCAACCCGTGCTATTCTGGCCCAACCCCTTCTATCCATCCCTCAGGCCTGCTGGTCTGTTGCTGTTACTACTGTTGTGTTGTCGCGGTGTTTTGAGACAGGGTCTCCCTATGCAGCCAGGATGGCCTTGAACTCTGAGGACTCCTCCTGCCTCAGCCTCCCCAGTGCTGGGATTACAGCCGTGCTGATGTCTCAGTAACTCCCTCATGGCTTTGTGACCGCTTGCAGCCCAGGCTGGAGACCCAGCTGCCAAGCCCGTGCCCGCAGGAGGCCACCGACACCTCCTCTGCACCTGCGGGGGTGGGGGGATTAGGGAGTTGCCAGGGAAGCCCTGGCTTAGTGGGGAATTTTCCCCAGCTGAGAGGAGGCCCAGGAGGAAAGAATGACCAATTATCTGAGGGGGCCCCTCAGATGAAAGGCCCTTTCTCTGGTCCTCCCCCTGCCTGTCCCGGCTGTCAACAGCAATTTGACCAGGAATGCTGCTGGCCTGACCTGTTTTTTCAGGATGGTCCCCACACTGTCCATCGCCCTGCCGGAGGTGACCAGCCAGCACCCTCGGCATGGTGCCCAGCTAAACTTCACCTTCAAAACCAGGAAAATTGATCGGAAAAACAATTCCTGGAAATCTCTCACTAATGCTATTTGGAGCGGGGCGGGCAGGGTGGGGGCTGCCTGGCTCTAATCTGATCCCCGATGTGGCTCTTGGTGGAGAATGGTCAATTGTTACTCATTCTAATTGGTTCTGGGTCACTCCCTTCCAAATAGCTGTTGCGTTCTCTTCATTTTTTCAATTAAATCTTAACAATTCACATCTGACAAAACTCAAAAATCTTGTCAAGAATTGCTCCGATTTGTACGGTAGGAATTCGCAGAAGCCCAGAGCGGGGACACTTTCACACACGGGCCAGCTAGGAGCTAACTGGGCTTGTCCGCGCCCGCCCTCTCCTCCGCACCCCGAAACCACGCTGGGCCTGCGCCTGCGCAGCAGCGGGGCGGGGACCCTGGACCCAAGCCCCTCCTCCTCACTCTCCTCTGAGAAAGCTTTATTCTGTCCCCCAAGGCAGGTCCGGAGCAACCAAGGGGGACTACACAAAGGCCCCAGAGCAGCCCAGGCTCAGGTTCGAAGCCACCTTGGACTGGGCCTCTGGGTGACACCCCCTGGGAGCCCCTTATCCTCCACCACCGAAGGACGACGTACTGTTGCCCAGATCTGGGGCTCTAAGCGACTGCTCCCCGACACTCAGGGGTGTCCCCCACCGAGAAGCTGCCCTTCGAGTTGGGCAGACCTCGGGCTTGGTCCTGGCCTTGCTTTTCCCTGTGAAGAAACCTTGGACCAGAGAGGCCAGGACTGTCAGGTCACACAGCGGCTCGGGTGCAGAGCCGCAGGAGATTCGGTGTTTGTTCTGGAGACCGTGGGCCACAGTGTGCAGTGCCTGGAGCCGTGTGTGGGGGTCTTCCTTCAGAGCCGGAGAAGGCTGAACGCTGCTTCCCAGGCCCGAGGGCTGGTGTCTATCAGGCTTGGTGGCCCGACTGTCCCCAAGCGGCTGGTTCCAGGCCACCCTGTGTCTCCTCAGCTTCACAGGGCCTGCCACATGGTGTGGCAACCCACAGGGACCTGGGTCGAGAGTTCATTAGATGCCCTCCGTGTCCCCTCTGGGCATCAGCCTGCACGCAGCCTTCAGCCTCCAACCCCCACCTCCCTAGCTTGTCCCCTCTCCCAGGCTCCTCTCTACAGCCCTGACCACTGTCCAGGTCACCTCAGGAAGTGTCCTCCTGGGCTGGGTTCCCCCAGCTGGTCCCTAGCCAGCCCCACCTTCCCTGCCTGGCCTCCCCCTCCGCTGCACATGGGCCCCACACCCCAAAATTAGCTGTCTGCACTCAGCTCCTGCCTGTGTCTGGCTTGAGGTGCCCGACCTCAGGCCCTTAGCCCCTCCCAGCAGCAGCCCAGCTGGTGAGGTAAGTCTGGTGGCACCATGGAGAGGGACAGGGGATGCCAGGGCCGCAAGAAGGCTGGACCCTGTGGGCCAGGGCAAGGCCGGGAAGTGGTGGGGGAGGCTAGGATTGGCGGTACTGGGATAGGGTGGACCCTCATCTTCTGCCAGTCTCAGCTGGACTTAGATTCATCTCTGCCAGGCAGTGTTCCCCAACTGTACCACCATGGCCTGGAACACAGCATCCATCACTAGGGACCAGAGCCCTGTCTGACCTCAGGCTGGCCAGGGCCTCTATCTTGTGGCCACCACTGCCAGAGACAGCCACGAGGCACAGGCCTGCCGGACACTCTGCCTTCACGTCCTGTAATGGGACGAGGGCTCCTCCCCAGCAGCCCCAGGACCTGAGCACCAGGATTACAGACAGCACAGGGCAGCTGGGCCTGGGCCAGGCCCCCACAGCAGCAGATTTGCAGGTTACAAAACAGGCCGCTGGTCACAGCCTGAGCAGACGAATCTGGACACAGGCTTGTCCCTCATGAGAAACAGGCTGGCCTGGCGTGCAGGTCTGTGACCCCAGCACATGGAAGGCTGAGATAGAAGGAGCCCAGTTTCAAGCCCGGCCTGGGCAACTTAGCAAAACCCTCTGCACAAAGGGGCAGGGGGTGGTGCAGGGGATGGCCCTGGGTTCTGTCGCCTGTAAATAAAACACTCAGGATAGAGAAGGCCAGTGTCTGAGCACCGCTGGCATGTATGGCCAGTGAAGATAGGTGCGCAGGGACTGTGGCACCTGCTGTCACCAGGGCAGCATCTCACCGCAGTCCGGCAGGGCCCCCGGGCCCCAGCAAGCCCAGGTGTGTCCACACCAGTGCCTGTGTGTGGGTGTCCACGGCTGGTTCAGATCTCTGATGAAAACTGACCTCAGGTCCGCAGCAGGGACCGGGGCGCACAGACCAAGGTCTGTCTCCGCAGTGTGGTGAGTGGTGGCCTGAGAAAGAAGACAGCCACTGAGCCCGGGACCCATGCGGTCAAACTGTAAACACAGCTGCCTGAGAAGGGGGCGGGGAGTGGCCCAGGGGAAGCAGACCCTGGGGGCTCCAGCCACAGTGTTCTGGAAATGCTGACCACAGTGGAGACACAGAAAGCTGGGCAGTGGCCAGGCTGGGGACAGGACTGCTGCCCAATTCTTTTTAAAAAAATGCACTCTGGGAAGCTGAGACCCAGTCTGAGCCCAGCCTGGGTAAATTAGTGAGACCCTGTCTCAAAATAAAATAAACAAACAAATTAGCTCATGCTGTGGCTGCCACTCTGGGGAAGGCCGGCCCAGTCCAGGAAGGAAACAGCCCCGTGCACCTGGTGCTCCACAGCTCTCCAGGGGAGGGCCTGGGAATCCATCACACAGGCCTGGGGCCACAGCCAGGCTCTGTGTCCTGTGTCCTGCCTGGCCGGGCATTTGGGGTCAGGAGATCAGGTCTGTGGCCCAGAGCAGGAGCTGGGTCAGGAGCAGGATGGGGAGCGTGGAGGCGGAGGCCCTGATGCCGTAGGAGGCTGGCCGTGTCCCCAAAGCACCTGACCTCGGAGCGGGGCCACCTGGGCACAGGCCACGGGGCTCAGCTGACCATTCTTGAGCCCACAGCCTCCACGGTGCTGGCTCTGCACCCCTGCCCCAGGCAGCTCCAGGCCAGAGCCCCCCACCTGGCTCTGGGGTTCTTGGAGCCCCGGAAGGGCCGCTCCGCTGCTCCTGAGGCCGGGCCAGCCTCCCACTCTGACCCCCTGTCCTACCTCACTCCAGCGGGGCTGGGCCGCTGCTGGCTCAGCTGCTGTGCGTGAGCGCTGTCATGTGTCGTGCAGGAAAAGCCAGGAAGGCTGAATCAGTCTGCAGTTTGGGCTCTATGCCGAGCCCCAGGCTGGGGAAATGGCTGCATCTTCCCAAGACTGAAGACACACGTCTGCATAAAGACAGCACATGGCTGGACACACTGGCCACCAAGCAGACACACCCGCCAAGGGGGGGCACGGGCAGGCACTCTCCACAGGGAGTAGTGTGCAGCAGTGAACAGGGAACACGGCCTGGTTCCCACTCGCTGGGCAGGAAAAGGCTGGGGACAGTTCCAACGCCCAGTTCCTGGGCAGCACCTGTGACCACAGAGAAGGGCGGAGCTGAACCTAGCCCACAGACAGCTGGGGCCCCCGCACTGCTGAGCTCTGCTTCCCATGAGGGGTGATGCGCTGTGAGGTCACCTGGGACTGGGGTGACGGCCCTGCCCTGCCACCTCCTCAGTGCTCATGTGGGAAGGGCCAGAGTAGTGTTCAGATGTCCCAGGTCCCTTGTCACCGTGGGGTGGTGGATCTCGATCCCCATGGTGTTGGCCTCACATCCCACCCTCACCCCGTCCATGTGCAGAACTGCAGGCCCTGGGTTCCCCTGAGGCCCAGGACCCCACTGGCATTCACCCCCACCTGAGCGGCTTCCTGGGGACCTGGGGCAGGCGCCTCCCCTATAGACAGGGCCCCCAGACCTTGCAGGGGAGTGCGCGGCCTGCCCTGCACCCCGTGTTCTAAACACTGGTCCCTGCTGGGTACCAGCCACGAGACGGGACGCAGGGAGGGGGTGCCTTTCAGACTCTCCGTGCCCTCCACGTGACCCCACCAACCGGGCGCCGGAGTGGCTGTCACTGTGAACACATCTCTGCACCTTTTCCCGCAGGGTTTTAATGGCTCCACAAGGAAGTTTAAACCACCTAGGTAACTGGCATCGAATTTTCTGTCGTACAACGTTGTCTTAAAGCCCATGAAGCTCTGATGAGAGGGAAGGAGGACCTGGCACGGATTGTATAAGGTTTTACCTCCACAGATGGAGCACTTTCAGTGCCCTGGCTGGAGTTCCCTGATTTACAAATAGGAAAGCTTGGCCCAGAGAGGGCAGGTGAGTTGCCTGATGCCACACAACATGCAGGGATGGAGCTGGCATTAGCCCTGAACGGGCACAGAGGAGCAAGGAAATTCCTGAATCGATGCAGGCCTCGGCCATGGGGTGTGGCAAGGTTGTGGGGTCTCTCCCTGTCAACAGACCTGTGCCCCAAGGGAGCCAGAGCCCCAGTGGATCAAACAGCAGAAGGGAGTGTCCCAGCTGCAGGACGGCCAGGCTTCTGTGGACCTCTCATAGATGTAGGGGACAGTCCTCCTCCAGCACAGTGAGCCTGATTCCTGGCACCCGTCCTTCAGTGCCTCAGTTTCCCCTTCTGTGGGGGATGTGGATGCTCAATGATATCCTCCCATAGTCACGAGCCGTCTCTGTCCCCCAAATCCTCTGCATGCTGCAGGCCTGGTGCCCAGGACTGCGGGCTTGATGGACATAGAGTCTGGCAGTGTGGTCAGTAGGGGGGGACTCAGTGTCCCTGCAACCATGAGCCACAGAGAGGGCAAGGGCACCCCTGAGCCTGCGTGGGGACAGGAACCTGACATCCAGATCTGCAAGGCTGCGTTCAGCTGGAGAGCCCTGGAGGGTGGCGCTGGGGACAGGGCGAGGACAGAGGCAGAGCAGAGGTGGAGACCCAGCCTGGCCATAGAACGTGGTCTCCAGCTTGTCACCCGCTCTCTCGGCCAGCACTTGCCTCCTGCCCTGTGGCCCAAAGACACAGGTGAAAATAGAGGGGTGGACCATAATGCACCCCAGCTTTGGAAGCCCCAGTCTCCCTGAGTATCTGTGGATTTGGTCCCATGGTCCCCACCCATGTGTGAAAACCTTCCACAAGTCAGGCCTGGTATCTGACGGGAACACAGTGAGAGTTTGTTGAATGACTGAGGGAGTGTAGACAGGATGCCTGCTGAAAAGGCCAGAAGGGTCCGCCCCAGCTTGCAGAGGGAAAAGGTAGCTGAGGGAGCCCCAAGCTCTTCCAGGTAGCGGCCTGGCCAAAGCCACATAACCAGAGAGCAGCGTACTGCAACGCATTAGTAGTAGTGGGGCTCCTGAAGGCCCAGGATGGGGTCCAGCAGAAGGTCTGTCAGTTCCTTGCTGATGAAGCAAGAGTGCCTGGCCATGTCTTTTGTCCCTTCTCTGTGTGGCCTCCAGGTTGCCTCCTGCTATCCATGTTCCGCTTTCCTTCAGTAACTGTCATGACTCATGCATTGTGTCAACTCAAGGAGTTTAGAAGTTTAACTAAGAGACTCAGCTGGAAGCCAGAGTCCTTTGTAAACATGTTCGACCTGTGCAAGAGGAGGTCACAGAGGTGGTGTGAGTGCTGCCCCCACCCTGAGGTAGGGGAGGCTGCTTACAACATGAGGGAAAAGAAGGAGGCTTCTTCTCCCCTCCTCACCTGTTTTTGCTCTGGCTGCTGTTGCTGGCTGCTGCCTTGAACTGTGGCCCCAGTGCCACGGCACCCTGCCTTGGAGCCAGCTGATTATAGACTGAAACCTCCACAAACAGTGAGCTAAATAAACCTTCATTTCCTTTATTTTGGATATCAGGTATTTTTTTCCAGCAATGAGAGAAAAGTAACCAAGACAGGTACCAGGAGTGGGGTCACTGCTGTGACTCTACCTGACCATATGGTTCACAAGCCTTTGGGAATGGCTTGTGGGAAGAGTTCAGAAAAGTTCTGAGATGTCACCTGAAAAAGTATTACTGGGACACCTTAGGCTATTCTGTGTGGGAGATTCTGGTCAGACCTCGGAGGGCTAGAAGCCTGATGGAAATCCTCCTGGTAAAGACCAGGCGTGGGAGGCTTCTGCTGGACAGGACTGCACTGGTTGCTGGACTCCAGATGATATGTGTGACAGCTTGGCAAACAGTTTGTCTGCATTTTGCTCATTCCAGAGACTGCCTGAGACTGAGATTAAGGGCAGCAGAATAATTAATCTGGCAGAAGAAATTTCAAGGCAGTTGAATGTTAGGGCTGTGTGTGACATGGCTATTGTTGGTGGCTTTTAGCCAGATTTATGTTGCAAATCAAGAGCAAAAAACCCAGCCGGACAATTTAAAACACTGTGAATTCAGCCAGAAAGAAAGCTCTAATAAAGCTGTGGATTGCAAGATAGAGCTGAGGAAATCTTGATTGTTGAGGAGGAACAGGAGAATAGAAAAGATGGCCTGAGGATATCACAAAATGCAGCATCTTGAGCTTTTGAAGCCTCAAAACTGCAAAAGTGAAAGATTTTGCTTTGAAGTAAATGCCACAGAGTGCCACGTTCCAGAATGGCAGCAGATTAGAAACTTTGTTCCTCAGAATTGGATTCAGAGTGCTCAGGGATCTAGGCACTCAACCTCTACAGCAAAAAGAGGGGAAAGCCTGGCTACTGCTCAGGCTGGCCACAGATCTGTGTCATCCAAGGGGTGCTGGTTTTAGGGGCACACAGAGCACAAGAGTTCTGGGGTTGAAAAGGTTTCTATCCCAATTTCAGAAGGACTGGGAGGCCAAGCAGTGTACCTCTGAAAGGGAAGCATGTGAAGCTGTGAGTATGGGGATCCCCGCAGTTTGAAAAAGCCAGGAGCACAGATTGTCTAAGGAAACTTGCAAGGAGGGGGCAAAGCCAGCCCAAGAGAGAAGCCGAGGTAGCAACAACCACCACCAGTGCCGCAGGGGTGGAGTCACCTGTCTTTTGGGGCTCACTACCAGATTGCTTCAGATGCTGAGCATGGAACTCTAGACTTAGTGTTTGCCCTGCTGGGGTTTGGACTTGCTTTTGTCTCAGTCCTTTGTATCCTCCTGTTTGTACCCTCTGGAATGGTGATGTTTATCTTGTGCCATTGAATGTTCGAAGTGTTTGACTTTGTTTTCATTTGTACAGGGGCTTGCAGCGAGGGTTGGCCTTCATCTGGGGGAAGACTTGGGTCTTGGACTTTGCAGCATGCTGAAGCTGCCGGGGCTGTGGCAAGTCTTGCAGATGGACTAAATGCCTTTTGTATGAAGGGATGCGCGTGAGTCGTTGTGGACCAGAGGTGGAAGGAATGCTGTGGTTCTAATGTATATAATGTGGGTAGACTTCATACTGGTTCTTAAGGGTTGCTAAACCTGTGTTATAATGTTCAAGTTGTGAAAACACACAAATAAGCATGTCTGGTATCTAGAAACAAGTTTCAAGAAATGTGTCCAGTTGCAGGCTGGGGATTTAGCTCAGTGGCATAGGCACCTGCCTGGCAAATGTGAGGTCATGACTTTGATCCCTAGTACCAGAAAAAAAAATGTGTCTGGTTGCCAAATTGACAAGGGGTGGCTTGTGCTGGTTGATACATTGTGTCAACTTGAGAAGGTTTGAAATTTAAGAGAATGGTCAGAGAGCCAGGATCCTTACTTTGTTAAGATCCTCAGCCTGTGCAAGACAATGAAGCACAGAGAGGTGTGAATGCCCCCCCAGAGGGCGGGAGGGGGAGCCTGCATACAACATAAGGGAGAAGAGGTCCCCTCTTTGCCCTGGCTGCTGCCTTGAAGCGTTGCCCCTGTGCCATGCCACCCTGCTTTCAGCAGGCTGATTATGGACTGAAACCTTCACAAACTAAATGAACCTCTCATTCCTTCATTTTGGATGTGGGTATTTTGTCCCAGCAATGAGAAAAAAGTAACCAAGACAATAACAAAGTTCTTTAAAGACAAGAGTAGTCAAAGACATGAAAGCAGAAGTCCGTAATAGGGGCTCTGGGCCATCTCTAAAAGCCTGAAGGCCCAGCTTTGCTCTTGTCCTTTCCTTATTCCTGAATAGACTAGGAATGTGAGGGTTGGTGCTTCAGCAGCTATTTTGTGACCTGGAAGACAGAACCCACTCCCTGAGCTCGGTGGAAAGAAAGGCCTGTTGGAGAGGCCGCCTGTGTACCGGCTGTGACAAGATGGCTTACAGGAGTTTCTCTCATGGAATGAGCTAAACTGGGGACAGCCGGAAAATGAGTGGCTCTGCTCTGCCCCCTCTTACCTGTGGCTCTGGTGCTCCCAGTAGCAGCAGATGCAGCCTGGTCTGGACAGCTGGACACAGCATTTCCCAAGGCCACTTAGGTGGAGGCCTGTGTCCTGGCAGCGCCTAAAGGAGCTGGCCCGAGTGCCCCTGAGCCTAGGAGGACCTGGTGAGGGTAGATGAAAATTATATAGACTCAAAAAAAAAAAAAAGTTATATAGACTCGGGCTCTTCCAAGAGCGCACTTCTGATTCCCACCTCCAGGGGCGCTGCTGGGCCGGCGGGGCCGCCCTGGCCCCTCCTGTCCCGTCCCCGCCCCGCCCGACCTCGGACACGCGAGGACGCAGCACTGGCACTGTCCCAGCCTGAGATCCTGGGGACCCCGCCCCGCCCGAGCGCCCTGTCCATCTAGTCAGTCGCAAGCGGAGCTGCTGCCGCGGGGTGGCTAAGCCCGGCGCCCACCAGGCGGGCAGCCCGACCCCAGGGAGCCGCGTGACGCGCCTGGCCGGCCCAGTGCCCCAGGCAGGCCGGGCGCCGCTGGCTCCAACGCTGCGGGCGCGCTTTCCAGCCTCTGGGGGAGCCCTGGTGACCCCCGCCGGTGTGGAGCCGCTCGCTGGGCAGCGGGGACTCCCGAAGGAGAGGGGCGGTTCACCTGGAACCGCGCTGTGCAGCCTTGCCGTGGGCATCAGCCAGCTGCCCGGGCTCCAGCCCAAGCCTGGACTCCGCTCTCCACATCAGGGAAGAAGTGCTTTCTTCTCTGGGTTCCTCCCTTTCCTTCCTCCTCCTCTCACCTTGACCTACACTCGCAGTCCTTTTTAAAATTATTATCATTTTTGTTTTTTATTTGGAAACGGTGTCGCCAAGCCACTGAGCCGCAGAGGACCTGGCAGGTGACCCTGTCCAGGAGGCGGGGGTCCCCTGCAGGCTGCTCCCAGGCTCTCTGGAGAAGGGCGCTTTCACACAGGCCAGGGAGCCTGAATGCCCCTCTCCCCACCCTCTGCAAAGCACCAACGCTTCCCAGAGTTCCCCTGGAAGCTTGTGCGCCTAAACCTCCCAGGCACCTAAATGCAAATGTTTCTTCCTTTCAAAACCAAAAGAGGAGCCCGCTGGGGGCCACAGCATCAGTGGCACCATAAGTCTGGGCAACTTAGTGACAGGGTGAGCGCTTGGTCTTGGAATAGAACGTAAGATGGATGCAACGCAGCCAGGGCTCAGTCCTGAGTACCAGAAGGTGAGGAAGATGCCACACGAGGGAGAAAGAGTCTGGTGATTACCAGCACTCGTGGACTCCGCCCAGGCCTGCACTGCCCTCCTACGGGAAGCTCACCCCACTTTTAGGGGAGCAGGAAACACCCGCTGTGTGTCCCAGTTTTGCTTTGCATCACGGTCAGGCACGGCCCACCTTAAAAATGCATGAGTGACGGTTCCTCCCCGCGTGCCTGCAGCTCCCAGGTGCCCACAGCAGTGCGTCCCTGTCTCAGAGCCAGTAGTGGCCCCCACGACCTCCCCAGCACCTGCGAGGTTGGGCAGCCTGGCAGAAGGGACGGGAGGAGACCACCTGGCCGGGACTCCCGGGGCTGGCAGGTCCCTTAGGACCCCAGGCTCCTGGGAAGGGAGGAGGTGGGAGGCAGGGACCAGCTTGTGAAGGGATCTGCAGCGGTTCAAGGACTGAGTCAGGCAGTTGGGGGGACGTGGTCTAAGTTGTACAAGATAGGTGCCCACCCCCCAGCGTCCAGCCCCTCAGCACCCACCCGGGTGCATCACCCTTGGGCACCGCCTACTCTCCCAGAGCCGCCCAGGGCTAAAAGGTCCGGGGCCTGCGTGGCCTGTTGGAAGGAGGCCTCCTGCCGGGCAGCCTTTAAGGAAAAGAGGTGGAATCAGCCGCCTCACTGTCGGGGTAATGCCCCCGGATGAGTGGTGGGGTACAGTTCGCAGAGCTCCTACCTGGCCTGGGGGAAATGGATTTCCAGAGATTTCAGAGTGGCAGTCAACCAGGGAGCCTGGCTGGCAGATGCCACATGCAGAGGGAGCCCTGGAGGCCCCCAGAAAGGTGCCACAGGTGGGGTGGGGCAGAGCAGGAGAATGGGGGAAGGAGAGGGAGTAAAGGAGGGGAGGGGAGGGGAGAGGGAGTAGGAGAGGAGGGGAGAAGCCAGTCCAGGCCCTAGAGTCCACTGTCTCCCAGCTCCCTCAGCACTGTGACATGAGCACCTGTCCAGTTGGGGACACTGAGCTCAGGGGAAGAGACAGCTGAGGTCCTGCTAGTGGAGCATGGGCTCCTGCAGGCCCTGAAGACATCAGACCCTGGAGAGAGAGTCCCTGGGGGCATGTCTTCAAAAACTGCATTTCTAATAGGTCCCTTGCCTTTCTCTCCTCCTGGGGTACAAAGCTCTGCCCATAGGGGCGCTCTGTCCTCCTAAGCTGGACCCAACCCCTCTCTGGCTGAGGGTCAGAGAGGAGGGCAGTGGCTTCGATGCTTTCCTGGGGCCACGCTGGGCCTGTCTGAAGAAGGGCCCAGATGAGCCCCTGGCTGGCCCAGGTCCCTGTTGGGGTACTGGGGGGACTCCCCCATCTCAGCTGGGTCACCTGGGACTGCGAGGAGCCTCAGGGAACTCTGTAGAGGGTGCTCTGTAGACAGCGCGTTAGGGGAGCCACCAGTTCCCACCGAAACGGGCAGGGGTCATGGGAACCCGCCCCGGTGTGAGGGCTGCAGCCCAGGCTCTGTAAGGCTAGGGTCCCGGAGCGAGCACCCTCCCGCTCTGTGAACTTCCGAAGGGACTTGAGAGGAGGTCGTGCCCCGCAGTCCACGCTGTTCCCCCTGCCCCAGCCAGGTCTCCATAAGGACTAGACCAAACCCTGTGTGCGACCAGGACACAGCAACGGCACGGGAAGGCGGACCTCAGCGCCTCCGAGCCCCAGGCCCGCGCTCATCACCCGCAGCGGCAGCGGGCACGGGGTTCCAGGCCGCTGCGTCCTGACCGGCCGGAACAGGTAAGAGGGAGGAGCGCCGGGGACACTGCGTGTTCCTGGGAGTCCTGCGGCTGACCTGGCCTTCCTCGGAGCCCTGGGCGCCGGGACGCAGGGAGGACCGGCGGGGTGCAGAGGCGCCCGTGCGTGGTCTGGGCACCCCGGGCCCCCCAGAGCAGGCCCAGTCTGCGCGTCTGAACGCCGCGCCCCGCTCTTCCCGCAGGAGTGGAGGAAAAGGGCCCGCGGGGTCCAGGCCTCAGCGTTGGGGGTAGGCCTCCCGCAGAAGGCCAGCCAGGAGCAGCCTGGACGTCCACCTGCCGGCCCGAGCCCGGCTCCTCCGCGCTCGGATCGGTGCGGCCTTCTCGGTGCTTGGGCCCGGCGCACGGTGCCGCCCGCCCCCAGGTCCGGTTTAGGGGCTCAGGTCTTGGACGGTGCCGCGGGGGCGCCCGGGGGCGCGGCGCCGGGCTGGGGCGAGCGAAGGCGGGTCGGGAGGGGGCTGGGGAGAAGCGGGACGCGAGGCTGCGCCAGACTCGGAGACGCCGCAGACGCCAGGTGAGCGGGCGGGCGCGGGCCGGGGCGCCGGCGGGGCCGGGCGGGGCCGGAAGGACGGGGGCGGGGGCGGCACCCCGGCCGCGCGCGCGAGGGTCCCTGGAGCCAGCCGGCGGTCAGCGGGGGCGGAGGAGGGGTCGCCGGCGTCCGCGAGTCCTGCGCCCGGAGCCGCTGGCGCCGCTGCCACGCTTCGCCGCGCCCAGCCCGACCGTCGCGCCCCTGTGCGGACAGGGTCGGGAGCCTCGGCGCCCACTCCCGCGGCCCGGGGCCTAGTCGCCGGGGCCCGAGGGGCCCGGCCCGGCCCGGCCTCCCAGGGACACCGCGGGGCCAGCGGAGAGCCGCGGTCGGCGGGGCGGCGGGACCGCGCGGGAAGCCCGGAGTCCGGAGGAGGCAGCGAGCGAGCGGACCCGAAGGCAGAAGACGGCGGCTGCACCGAGTGAGCGGAGCCGCGGGGCCGGGTGGACGCCCCGCCGCGGCCGAGGTCCTGCGGTCAGCAGCTCCTGCCCGCTGCCCTTCCCGCGGGTCGGCGAGGCTGGGCCGCGGTTCTGCTTGGGCCCAAGGACGCGGCCGGCGCGCTCCCTGCCAGGCCGCAGGCCTTCCGGGCGGGGTGTCCCCGCGGAGCCCTCCTCCATGCCCTGCGGGGCCCCGCACCCAGCCCCGCCCCGCCCGCGCAGGCCTTGCGGACCCCAGGACGCCTCCAAGAAGCGCCCCAAAGCGCACAGGGCCTGCGCCGAATCTGCGGCCGCGGTAGGGGCCGGCCCGCGATCCCTCAGCCCCTTACCCGCGGAGGACGTGGGTGCTGCTCGCTGGGAACCCGGCCGCGGGAGGCCTGGAGGCCCCCGAAAGCTTCATGGAAAAGAGGAAGGTTGGAGACTAAATCGTTCCACAGACACCAAATTAATGGGCTTTAACAGGCACAGTCCGGCTCAGAAGAAAGAAGGCCGAGTATAAACTGGACCCACGCAAGCCCGGTTCGGGAGAAATCAACCTGGAACAAAGCAGTCCCCCTACTCCTGGGTAGAGAATCTGCCCTGATGCTTCTGCTCATCGCTAAGACAGTTTATGATGCGAGTTCTCAAGTATAAAACAAAAGGACTGTAAGAAAACCCCGTGTGTCCACCCCTGCTGGACAGCCAACTCCCCAGCAATTTCGTTGACTTCCACATCCCTCCCTTTATTTAACAAATTGATGTTTTTGTTGCCATTCCTTAAAGCAAACGCGGGTGTCACAGCCTCTCATCGGTAAATGCATAAAGGCATCTTTAACTTTTTAAAATAACCATCTGGCTGCGAATCCCAGCTCCCGGTAAATCATAGTCTGCTCTAACACTTAAAGGCATTGGCCGTCGGTGACCCGTGTGTTTGTTTGGCCTTTCCTGCGATGCCCAGGTCATCATTACTTTTGTACAGGATGTGGGGAGGGGCCAAAAATACCAAAATTGAGACCAACAGCTATGAAGGGCGAGGGTGCTCGCGCCTCCTCCCCAAGGGTGGAGGGTGAGCCCCACACCCCTACACTGGTCTCTGCTGAAGTCGTAATGCTCAGCAGAGAGGACAGCCCCCAACCCACCTGCCAAGGCGGCATCCCCTCCTTTTCCTTGGGGTCACCTTGGGGACCTGTAGGGCCAGGAAACCTCCTGCCTCAGGTGAAGCTAGGACTCCACTTCCCAGCAGCCTCCAGGTAGGGAAGGATGTCAGGACTCCCTCAAGAGGACCTTTCAGGAGCAGCTTCACAGGTGTGGAGAACAGGACTGGTCTCTCTGGGCACCTGGTCTCTCTGGGTACCCAGAATCCTCTGGGCACCTGGTCTCTCCGGGCACCCAGAATCCCTGCTCCCTCTGAACCTCAGTTTACCTTTTCAGTAAGTTGCTAGCTGAGGCCAGAAGGGGATAGAGGGTGCCTGGGAGAGGCCACCTGACCCAAGTGAAGAGAGGGAGAAGCCCCAGGGCCTCAGGGCCTACCTGGTCGGCACCCAGCTGAGCTGCTTGCTGGGGGGCTGGGGCCAAGGTCCTGGGAAGCCCTTTCCCAGTCCAGACCACCACCACCCCTGCAGTGCCGGGGCTTTGGGGTGCACAGGTTGCCTCTTTGAAGGAGAGTCACTGCACCTTCCTGAGCAGCAGAGGCCCCAGCTGCTTGGGGTATGAAGGCCAGGCTGGCAAAGCTCCGTGTCCAGCAGTCACTCTCACTCTCGGTGACAGTGGGTGAGGCAGGAGTGAGTGGGCCTATGGCTATGGCATGGCCAGCACAAGGAAGGCAGGCCAGGGTGACCTGGGAAGGGGCGACCAGAGTCCCCTTCCTGGGTGCCCTAGGTGCAGGTCTAGCTCTGGGGCCCAGCTCTGAGGGGCCTTATTTCTCACTCCGCTAAGTCTGGCTAGGGTGGGTTCCCTGAGATATCTGTGGGGTGCTATGTGTCTGAGGGACCCTGTTGGTCTCAGACCTAGCAGGCCAAGCTGCAGCCCTCAGTCCTCCTGGTAAGCTGCAATGGGGAAACTGAGGCTCAGAGGAGGGAGGGTGCTTGCCAGCAAGGGTCCCTTTGCCAGCAAAGGGTCCACACAGTGATCCCCTGCTTGGGTGTGCAAAGCCCATCTGCCCCAACTGGGCTCAATGACTCGACTGCACAGCCAGAGCCCGGAGAGCTCGGGGCGGTTGTTAAGGAACCTCACTTAGGGCACGGATGATGGAGGGACCTGGAGGGGCGAGGGAGGGCTGCACGTGAGGTGGAGACAGATTGAAGCCATCCATCTCCGCCAGCTCCAAGGAACCAGAGCTCCCGAGGTGCACCGCAATCGATGGTGCAGGACTGGGGGGCTCCTCGAGGCCAGCGCCCCTTGGGGCTTCACGGTCCGCACCCGCGCCATCCTTAGCTCAAGTCTGAGCTGCCCCTGGTGCTGGCCCCAGAACAGAGTGCCTGGGACTGACTGCAGAGCAGGGCGAGGCTCCCCCAGCAAGCATAGTTGGGGATCCACTCGCTAGGGCATATCTGCGCCTCTGCTTCTCTGCCTCCCCAGCCCTCTCCACTCTGCCTGAGCCCCAAGGCCTGGAAATTGCTCTCTAGCCCAATCTCACTGACCCTCACTCAGCCCAGTCTTCACACCTGCCTGCCTGCTGAGGACCTGCCTGATGCAGTGGATGAACCTCGCTGTCTCCCCTGCTCTGAGCCATCGCACCCCTGGCCCTCAAGTACCTTTCAGTGGTCCTTGAGTCCAGCCTCCCGGGAACTCTGGTTGGGCCCATTCCGTGGTTACCTCAAGACCTTGAGACCCCACCGGCACCAGCTGGAGACAGTGTTGCTGGGGGCCATGACCCTTTATCCTGGGTTTTCATTATTCTGTTCTGGGAAGGCTGAACAGAGAGCCTCCAGGGCCGGGAGCCCAGAGGCCTCTGCAGCTGGAAGAGCACTGCCCTGCTGTGCAGGCCCATGTGCCAGAGGGCCAGAGGAGAGACCCAGTGCCCTGCTGAGCCGGGGTCCTGCACTGGGCTCCAAGGCCTCCGCCACAGCCACATGGTGGTCACCGGTGCCCATGCCTGTTTGGGGTTGGATGAGACCAGTGGCATTGCCGAGGCCTAGAAAGGTGGGGGAGAAGATGGGGAGCTGGGAGGGTCACCCCACTGCTCTGTGACTGCTACCTGGGGATGACTAGAAAATATGTTCATTTTATTGGAGCGGCTCACGGTCCTTCCCAGAAAAAATCAGCAAAAATGAAAACGAAAACAGGTTTGAGGAGCCCAGGCAGGGGAGCCCTGCTGATCCACGGCAGAGGCAGGGTAGAGATGCAACTGCTGGCGAAGGATCTGTCCCTCCACAGAAGCCTCTCCCAAGGCCATCACCTCTACCACAGCCCCACACTGCATCAGCTGCCCAAGGGTCCCAGACACCCTGGGAGTTGACTGCACCTCCACTTCAGGTGGGGTGGGGCACGCACAGATGGGTGACCCCCAGGGCCCCATGGTGCCTGCTCTAGGCATCTGGTGCCCACAGCATGGCACGGTGATGCCAAAGGAGAAGGTTTTCAGAGGTTTCATTCTGCGCCCACTAAAGGGAACCTTGCAGACCCTGAAGGACCTACCCCAGACTCACAAGCACAACACTGTCCCCCACCCACAGAGGATGGGACCTTCCCATCTTCACCCCAAAGCAGGCAATCAGATAGAGGGATCCAGGCCTCAGGAACAGCTTTAGCATGGAAAGTTCGAGGGCAGTGGCTAGGGCAGGAGCCAGCACTCCCTGAACTGCCACATGGTGACCTTGCCTGGGGCTGCCCTCCAAGCTCCAAGCTCAAGCCCCGAGCTCCAAGCTCCGCAGTGAGATCTGGTGGTCACGCCTGCCTGTGGCTTTTGGTTCTAGCAGAGCTGTGGGTCCAGTCCAGGAGTTGTGGGGTGGCCCTTTGTCTCTGCTTCCCTCCCCCACCCCTGTGACTGCCACAGAGTTGAAGTCCTGTCCATTGGCAGAGCAGGGGTCAGGGAGCATGGACCCCACCACCCCAGGATTCTATCCCCTCTGCCCACCAGCACAGCAGCCCCAGCTCCCAGGCTCCCATCGTAGGATCCTGCAACCCGCACGCAGCAGCCACAGCGCCTGAGTCACACAGCAGCCAAACTGTCCACAAAACGTCCCTTTTTATTCCATACGCAAATAAGCATATTCATCTCAAAAAACAAAGTCTTCACCAGAGAACTGGAGGCCACAGCCCAGAACAGAAGCCACAGTCCTGCCGCCTGTCCCCACCTTCAGGATGGAAGATCCGGGTCCAGCGCTGAGGTCCCCCTCCACCACCGCGGTAGGGAGGGCGTGGGTCACAGCCCACCCAGTGACCTGCCATCCTCTAGGTCCTGCCATAGTTCCAGGAAAGGGGCATTTTGTGCCGGAGTCAGTCTGAGAGTGGGGCAGTCACCTGGAGCCCGCAGCGACCTGTGTGAAGTTTCCTTTGCTGTGGGGCCCAAAGCTGCTCCTGTGCTGTGTGCCTGGCTCCAGGTCTGTGCAAGGTCCATTTTCCCTGCGAGGGGGCCGGCCTCGTAGCTGGTGGGGAGCTGCAGTCCCGCCGCCCAGTACATTCTGGAGAGCTCCCTAAGGCTAAGCGAGTCCTCCTCTATGATCCTAGGAGGCCCCGGGAGCCATCCCCGCTGTGCGTCCGCGGGGTCTGCAAAGACCGGGAGAGGCACGCGCGGCTCACACCAGGCCTGGCATCTGCGCCCGCAGGAAGGGCACGGAGGCAGCGGCAGGGAAGGCGGCCAGCGGGTAGGCCAGCGCCCCAGAGAAGCCGAGCAGCGGCGGGGGTGGTGCGGGCGCGGGAGTTGCCAGCGGGAACGGTAGCGCGGCGGGCGGCGCGGGCGGCGCGGCCGGGGGGCTCTCGTGGTAGAGCACTGGCACTCGGACCAGACGCTGCGCGCCCGGCGGGGACAGGCTGGCCGCCTCCAGCTCGGCTGCCAGCTGCCGCTTCCACTTGTTGCGGCGGTTCTGGAACCAGATCTTCACCTGGGTCTCCGTGAGCTGCAGCGAGGCCGCGAGCCCGGCGCGCTCGGCGCTACTCAGGTAGCGCTTCAGGTCGAAGGTGGACTCTAGCTGGAAGACCTGGCTGCGGGAGAAGACGGTGCGCGTCTTCTTCTTGCGGCCTCCGCCTCGCGCCTCCCCTGCCACGGCCGCAGGGGCTTCCGCCAGCTCCACCGCGTCCTCCCCACAGGACGCCGGGCCCCGCGCTGCCAGCTCCACCACCTCCCGGGGCACTGCGCCTGGCCCAGGGCCCCGCGGCCAGGCGCCCTCCGCGCGCCCCATTTCCTCGCCGGTCTCCGGTGAGTCCCGGTCACTAGCTGCAGGGAGAGAGGAGCATAACGGTTGGTTCCCAGGGCTAGTCCCCAGACGTGGTCCCCAAAGCTAGCCAGCTGTCCCATGGGAACTAGGATTGTGCAGCTGGGCATCAGCAGCCAGCCCCAACCTGGAGTGGAGAAAGGGGAAAGGGAGGCCAGAACGTACCCCAAGACCACAGAGCTGCTGCAAATGATCCTTGGTGACACCCCCATGCACCAAAATGCACCCCCACAGCCAGAGGAAGGAGAGGAAGACAGAAACACAAACACAAAAAGCAGGCCAGCCGGGGGCCACCGCGCAGCTGCATGCTGGACCCTTGGAAAACTGCATAAAGCATGTGAAACCCAGGGACAGGAGCAGAGAGACACCTCTGAGGAATCCCATACTGGGAAACAAACCAGGAGCTGCCCCTCCCACCCACCGGCACCCAGCCTGCGCCCAGCCAGCAGTGACCCCTCCGAAATGCAACTATCAACCTGCAAGAGCTCCAGGTGGGGTGCCCCGATACACAGCCACCACACCCAGCCCCAACACCCATCCTGGCCGTCCGTCCACCTTGCAGGTTTGAGGCCAGAGGCCTCAAGGGAGATGAGGGGATGCAGAATGCCTGCTCCAGGACCTCCCAAAGGGAGCAGGGGGTCCCCAGGGTAGTATAAGGAGTGAAGCTGGTTGAAGAGGGCTGCCCTTCCCTGGCATATCCGCAAGACTGTACCAGCCTTGGAGCAAAGGCCTCGCTGCCAGCTGCGGTCCGTGGGGTCCAGCTAGCCCTGGAAGGCCAAGGGGGTCAGGTGGGCAGGGGTGTGACCTGGTGTCTGAGAGCACACTCAGTCTGGGCCTGTGTCTCTGGAGGCTGCAGAGCTCTTCCACCCCAGTCCTGTCTCTGTGCAAAGCCTGTGCCCTTCTGGTACCCACGAGATGTTCAGCAGTGGGCCGGTGTGTACACCTCGTTGGATCTGGAGAGTCCTGCTCCTACCCCCACCCCAAAACCCCCACTCCTAGAGGCCCATGCACTGTGGGGCACGGAGCTGCTTGCTGGCTCCAGGGGGGAAGCTGGGACCCTAACCCGCATTGTACGAAAAAAGAAGCTGTCACTTGAGGGGCTGCTGGCTAGGGTGCTGGTGGGGACCAGCCCAGGGGCAAGAGGAGAACAAATGTCACCAGTGAGAGCAGTTTCCCGGTCGCCCCCACAGGGGCACTAATTGGAATCCCCAGATTTCACTGCTGCTCCACTTCACCTAATGGGGTAGAGCTAGCTCTTCACCGTAGGCGGGAGCTGTGGGTCCTTCAGCCTGGGGGTCGCTCCCATCCCAGGAAGGGGGTGTCCAACAGGTGAGAGGGGTCATAAGCCACCTGCTCCTGTGCACACACTGGGTCCTGCACACCAAGAGGGATTCCAGAGCTAGGGCTGGATAACGGGGCTCAGCTGGCCTCCCAGTGTGTGTGTGTTTTGGGGAGCAAAGTGGGAGGTGAGTGCAGCAGCCCAGCTTTCCTGGTCCTCCTCCTGGGGTGTTCCAGAAGGACAGATTCACAAGGAAAGCCCAGATCCTGAGGAGAGGGAGGGGACTGGGGCCGATGCCCAGGCCGGAGGGACTCCTTGTCAGCCCAGATGCCCCCATCCCCGCCTGTAAGCCCTCAGCGGGGAACAAAGGCTGGGGAGGGGGAGGGGCGGGAAACGGAAAGAGAGGCTTGGACAAGGACTTCCCAGGAGGACCCCATTGCCTGGCAAGGCCCAAGGGCCTGGGAGAACCCAGAGTGAAGTTCGGGGCCCTGTCCCAAGCTCCAAGCCCCAGGCAAGCACAAAGGAACCAGAATTCCAGGGCCCGAACCCCAGCGCTGTTGCCAAGGGCCCCTGTGAGACCCTGCCTCAGCGCCCCCTTAGGGCCGTGTGGGTGACTCCCCAGCCTCCCCTCTGCTAGCCCCCCTCTCCCTTCTTCCACCGTCCCGATTTGGGGCTTTGTTTGTTTTTGCATTTCACTGTCCCCACCTCGACACAGAGCTCTCTCGCCGTCCTCCTTCCATTTTCTTTCCCCGCTCTCTCTCGCTCTCCCCGCTTAGAAGCCCGCAGCCCCGGCCCCCCTGCCCCCCAGAGCTGCAGGTCGGCTCCCTTTCCCGAAGAGTGGGTCCCCAAACCTGCCCGACAGGAGGGCCCTCTGCACTCCAAGGAAGGATGGCCTGGAGGCCGGAGCGAGGAGCCCAGCCCCGGTGTCTGCGCGGTACGGGACACCCGGTGCCGCCTGCCTCCCCACTTCGCCGCCCCCTCTCGCGCCCCAACTCACTGTCAGGGCTGAGGCCGCCCGTGTAGCCGCCGTGCGCCCGTGGGTGCCAGCGCGTCGCGGCCCCACAGCCGAGCGCGAAGGGCGGCCCGGGCCCGGGGGGCGGCCGGGGACCGAGGCCCAGCGCGCCGGGCCCCAGCAGCGCCCGCGCCCGCGCCCTCGCCTCCCCACCGGGCCCCGGGCCCGCGCGCAGCTGGCGCCGCCGCTGCAGCTTTCGCCGCCGCGCGGGCTGGGCGTCGTCCTGCTCGGGGTCGTCGTCCTCCTCCTCCTGGTCCTCGCGGCCGCCATCGCCGTGGGCGGCGCGCCCCGCGCCCTTGGCCTCGGCCGCCAGCAGGTTCTCGATGAGGAAGGAGGAGGCTCGGGCCGGCGTGGCGCGCCCGGGCTCTGTGAGCTCGTCTGGCATCGCGGTCGCGGGCCCGGGGGACTCTGCCGCGCTCCCGGGGGTCCTGGTCCCCGCGGTGAACGGTGGCGCGAGGCTCCCCAGCGCGCGCGTGGCCGGCCCTGGACCCCGGTCGGGCCCGGGGGCGAAGGGGCCTGCGCGGTGGGCCGGGCGGAGTGGGCGCGCGCCGCAGCCGCTCGGGCCGCCGCCTCTCTCGCCTTTCACGTCGCGCTCCGGTCGCCACCCGGGCCCGGCTCGCGGGGCGGGGAAGGGCGGGGCAGGGGGCGGGGCGCGAGGGGCGGGCAGAGGTGCCCCGAGCGCTGCCACGGCCGGACTCACCCAGGACGCTGCGCGCACTGTGGCACGGCCGAGCGGGCGGCCAGGGCGCGGGGGGGGGGCGCCGGGTCCCACCGTGTCTGATGCCTTCGCGCGTCCGCGCCACTCTCTCTGGGGGCGGGCGGCATGCGGGTGGCTGCCCATTGGCTGTGGGCTCCCAGGAGGCTCGGGCTAGCCAATTGCCATCCGCAAGAGCTAGAATTTCCCCGCTGTGGCCAGTGTGGGCTTGAGTGTGAGCGAGTGTGCTTATGTATGCGCGCGTGGCATGTGCTTGTGTGCATATACTGTGTGTACGCGCGCGTGTGCATATGTTCTTACGTGCGCAGTGGAGAGTGCGACGTGAAGATACCTGGGTTTCTAAAAACAACAAAATATCTGGGCCACAATCCTATCATTTTGTAAACTAATCCTGCGTATAATTTAAAAACGAAAATTTTGTCAAAATAGGGCCACGGAAAGGAGACACGTTTTAATATTTACACTTAGCGAAAAAGCTTTCGATGGCCCCTTCCTGGACAGAACTCGCTCCCCGCGATCTCAGAGAACAACTTAGATCATACAATGTCCTGCCGCCCGCGAGGTCTTGCGTCTTGCCGAGTGGAACAGATCTCACTGCCCGGAGCCCCAAGGCCGGCCTCCCCTAGGCGGAAGGGGTCAGAGCTGCCACCCAGCCACTGCTCAAGGGCGGAGGTCTTGAGAGAAGGCACCGCGTTTTTACTACCTCTCACCCAGCAACAAAGTGGGGACCCCATCCAAGGTGACCCAGGCAGTCTGCGTGTGGCGCTCCAGAGTGGCCTCGATGAGGAGCCCCGGGTCGCAAGAAGCATCTCAAGTGTTGCTGAAGAGAACCGTGCCAGCCTCTGGCCCCAAGGGTGCTGCCCGATATCTGGGGAGAGGGTGCAGTCCTCGTCTTCCACTTTGATTAATAAAGCCCCCTTCCCAGCCCCCCATTTCCCAGAGGAGAAAATAACACAGGCACAAGGGCTCATCAGATGGTTCCAGATGTAAGTGCCACCACGGAGGCCTGGGATTCCGGGGTCCAGACTCACCCAATCGGACCCCAGTGTGCACCCGCAGCAGGGCAACCGGACCTCAGAGCAGAACGTCGCGAGAAGGGCACAGCCCTGGCACTTGGAGTCCTCGGCTGCAAGTCAAAGTTGGGTGCTGGCTGGGTATCCTGTGAGCCTAGTGGCTGCTGGATCTGGCACTGGAAGTCAACTTTCCTGGACCAAGGGCTCAGGACCAGGCACTCAGTAGGTCTTCCTCCCCAGGAGGGGCCAGATGAGGCAGGAACAGGGGTGCCTTGGTCCTTTAGCCTGGAGGTGACCAAGAGGCAAAGTCGCCATCTGGAAAAGGTGAGGTCAGCCCAAAGCTCAGAGAGGCAGAGGTGCCTTGGGCCTGAGGGGCTGGGCCAGGAAGCGGGAAGAAATGGGCACCCAGAGCCGGGCAAACCCTGGGCAGAGATCATCAAATGGAGGGTTCATTCAACAGATGGGTACACTGAGGAAAAAGAGCAGTCTGGATAAAAAGACCACAGCTGAGGGGAGGAGCTGATTTGATTTTCACAGCCCTCGGGTTTGTACCACTGTGCCCGCGCCTCTGTGCACCTCCCCTCCTTCAGCCGGGCCCCTTCTGGGTCCGCTGTCTTCCTGTCCAGTCGGCCTCAGCGGACTTCCTTGAGCCTGGGCTCTCACTCTTTGCACTCTGGAGTCACATAGCCTTGGACCAGGCGCCTGGAGTCTGGATTCCTCTCACCGCAGGTGAGGGCACTTTCCAGATGGAGGAGAGGGGGAGAGCATCCCTGGGGAGCTTGCGCTCTCAGGTTCCCACTGCTTCTGGGGGGCTCCTGGATGGGTCGGGCTGCAGTAGCCTGGGAGCATGCGTCTGGCCCTAGAGTGCACCCTCGAGGTGGGGGTTCAGGGTCAACTTGCTGCATCCTGACTGTGGGCCTGGGCGGCCGAAGTGGGTGGCTTCCATCTGGCAATGGTGGCCCTGGGTCCTGTGCGCACAGAGCAGGTGTGGCCAGGGTGCAGCTGGTTGTTGCTTAGGGCCAGTGAGCCAGCAGGACTGGTGCTCCCCCACGGCCCTGCCCTGCGCCCTGTGCTGATTCTGGGTCTTGAACTGGAACCTGGGTCGTGTCTGAGGAGGTAGAATCAGGGGTTACTGCCCCTGCATCCGTCCATCCATAACCATCAGGACGCATTTCTGGAGCTCAAGGGGCCAGGAGGCAAGGTCCCTGTGAGTCCTGGGCAGGATCTTGGGCTTCTGAGACCCAGGCCCATCTGTAAAAGCAGAGTTTCACACATTGCAGCCTTCACTCCACCTCCCGCCTCTGTGGGGACCTGGAAGACGCCCCATCTTTCTTTCTTTCTTTCTTTCTTTTTTTTTTTTTTTGTCTTTTTCCTTTTTTTAATCGGTACCAGGGATCGAACTCATGACTGCCTGCTTGCAAGGCAGACGCTTATGCTTATGCCGCTGAGCTAAATCCCCAGCCCCAATCCCCAATCCCCGTCTTTCTTTACAGGCGGTGCCCACCAAGCCTCCAGGTCTCCATCGCTTCTGTCCCTGTGCCTCTGCGCTGTGCGGTGGGACCACGTAGACGCTCAGCTCCAGCAGACCCTGCTGGAAACCCAGCATCCTCTTGGAGACAGTGCTCTGCCTTCTGCAGGGACCATGCCTTTGTCACCAGTACCTTCATGTGCCCTGTGCCTGCTGTAGGGGCCTAGAGCCCAGAAGTCCCATAAATCTGAGCATCAGGGTGAGTGGGAACAACTCCAGGAGCACAGAGCATGGTGACTCAGGCAGCCGCTGGCTGTGTTGTAATAAACGTCCCCTTACCAGTCCCATGTGCCTCATTTTCTGAAGCACGGTGGCCCTCGGTGGCCTGAGAGGAATAGCTCGGACTCTCTTCTTACCCAAATCTTTTTTTTTTTTTTTTGTCTTTTTCCTTTTTATCGGTACCGGGGATCGAACTCACGACTGCCTGCTTCCAAGGCAGGCGCTTATGCCGCTGAGCTAAACCTCCAGCCCCTCCAAATCTTGATAAGCTTAAATCCTTCACATAAAATAGTCGGCCTGTGGTGTGCACACAGCCTCTTGTGCACTGGGATGCCTTGTGCCTAATATAACGTAAATGTCCTATAAACAGTCAGTATACTATTTTTTGTTTGTTCAAAGTATGGGGGATTGAACCCACTGAGCAATGTTACCAAGCCTTTTATTTTGAGACAGGGTCTCACTAAGTTGCTAAACTGCCCAGTCTGGCCATGAACTTGTGATCCTCCTGTCTCAGCCTTCAAGTGATGGGATTACAAGCAGCCATGCCGCCTGGCTTCTTCTATTGTATTCAGGGAACAATGACAAGAGAAAACTCTGTGTGTGTTCAATAGATGTGATTCTTCTTTGGAATCAAATCAAAGCTCACGTGTGTGTGTGTGTGTGTGTGTGTGTGTGTGTGTGTGTGGTTTTGGTCTGTGATTGGCTGAGTCAGGCAGGGAGTGTGCAGGTGAAGGGGGTCATGGTGTCCACTCCGGAAGCGCACCAATGCTTTTTCCTCAGCAAGGGGTGGAGTCCAGGGCCTTCCAGGAGCCAGCCACGTATTCCTCTGAGCCACAGCCCGGCAGTTCTTCCTAACCTCTATACTCAGCACTCATGTCACTGTGCATCATCATAGCCTTCACCAGACATCAGGAGTGAGCAGCCATGCGTCCGTAGGTCACAGGGGTTTGTCCTCTGTCCACGCAGTCTGGCTCCAGTGGAAGGCTAGGGCCTCAGGAGCCAGCCAGGCTCCTCTGAAGCACCCTGGCTTGTTTCTCTGGCCATGCTGGCTGTCAGTGGGGGATGTCCCAGGTGGGCCCCTCAACATGGGTTTCCAAAAAAAGTGGGAGCAGAGGTGGGGTCCATCCATTACCCAAGGCCTCAGTGCCTGGAGCAGGTGCAGCCTCCCCAGGTTTGGGGGGGGGCCCTTTGTCTGATGTCCAGGGGAGAGGCTCTGTGTGGCCACAGCAGGAGACAGGCCCCAATAGGGCAGGTAGTCAGGTCGCTCAGCTTCCACCTCTGCTTTGCCAGTGATAGTGGAAGAGCAGACAGAACTCAGGCCGCCCACCCGCGTTCTTCAGGGTCCCAGCGGCTGCCAAATCAAGGCTGGAGACACTAAGACCTTCGGACCCTCGAGGCTACTAGGTCGACAAGGAAGCCTGGCCCTGTGAGCAAAGTTTCTCTGCTTGCCAGTCACCGAGGAGCAGGGCCGCCAGGCTCCAGGCAGAGCTGAGGGGGTAGCCAGAAGGTCAGGTTCAGGGAAGAGAGAGCGGCAGGTGGGTCCCTTGCAAGCTAAGCAAAGAACAGTTTCTTAATTTGCAAAGCAACTGGAAGCCGCTGAAGGTTACTGAGGCCGGGAAGCTGAAGTACTGGGAGAAGGAAGTCATCTGAAGGCAAAATAGCAGATGTGAGGCAGATGAGATGCCAGGAAGGGGCCAGCTGCTGGGCCGAAGGGACCAGCACTGAGGTGAGTGGGGGCGCCACATGGGACACCTGGTGGCTCTGCACCCCTCCCCCAGGAGCTCGGTGCCTCTAGGTCTCCTCTCCAGAGTTCATCCTCCCCAAGTTGCTACAACGTCGTTCCCCTACAGTCCCTAGCAGCCAGAAGTGTCATCAGGATGTGAACTCGGGCCCCTGGGGCTCGGCTGGGCTCCAGTTGCTCCGCCCCCCCCCCCCAGCACTGGCCGCTGGCCGCCAGCTTGGCTCTACCCGCTATGAAGTTCAGGGCTGCGGAGTGGAGAAGGCAGTGCGGACAGGTGCTTGGCAAACACTGAAAGCGCTTGCTTTGAAGAAAACCAAAGGCCTGAACAGTGTTGAGGCTGCGCTTTGTGGGTCCAGCTTCTCTCCTTGGGGAAGCTTCCTTTAAACCTACAGAGCGGGACACTT